GTCCTTCCCACCAGGGTCCTGGACACCCTGCTGCAGCACTGCCTGTCCAGCCACCCTTTTCTCTCCTCACTTTGCGTTATCTGCTCCACCCAAGCAAACTGACGTGCTGGGCTGGATGTGCAGCTCCAGACGGGAACGTCAGGCTTTGGGGGCAGTGGTCTAGTTGGGTGGCGGCTCTAGGGGACTCCTCTGGGACCTGTTCTTGCCTACCATGCATCTTGTCATCAGGTAGTGTACAGATGGGTTAGACTAGTGTGGATGGAGAGTGGGGGGCTCTGGAAATCGTGGAGGAGCTACAGCGTCCCCAGATGGGGCTTTCCATCGCTCCCGAGGGCCTACGGCACCTTCAACCAGCCCATGGCTCCATCTGTTCTTAATTCTAGAATGTCGAGTCCCAGTCAGCTCCGCAACAGCCAAAGCCATTTCGTGATTACCTCCTTCCAGAATTAGAAAAGGAAAGAAAATACAGATGCATTTTGTAGGGGTGTGTGTGTGTGTGTGTGTGCGCGCTGCGTGTGCGTATGCTGACATGCACACAGTGTTTAGTTAGATCCCAGCACTTAAAAATAAAGGCATTTCACTGACATTATTTTTAATAAACACACGCACACATGTGCCCCTCCAAATAAAAAGAGGAGGCCTCTGGACTTGTGGCTGTTCCTACAGTCAGCTCCCTGCCCTGCAGGGACAAGATTTCTAATAACCACTTTAGGAAGGAAGGCAAACACTTTTTACAGTCATATTGTGCTTTCAAAAGTAGGCAAACGACAATTAGAGGAGAGGTGCCGTGCTCCGTAAAGACGTGGCAGAAGGGGGCGGGGCTCACACCCGTAATCCCAGCACTGTGAAAGGCCAAGGCGGGTGGATCACCTGAGGTCAGGAGTTGGAGACCAGCCTGGCCAACATGGAGAAACCCCGTCTCTACTAAAAATACAAAATTAGCCGGGCCTGGTGGTGCACACCTGTAAATCCCAGCTACTCAGGAGGCTGAGGCAGGAGAACTGCTTGAACCTGGGAGGCGGAGGCTGCAGTGAGCCGAGATCACACCACTGCACTCCAGCCTGGGAGACAGAGCGAGACTCCATCTCAAAAAAAAAAAAAAAAAAAAAAAAAAGAAGTAGTAGAAGAGACATATTTCCTCCGGGAAGTGAAAAACATTTCTGACTGCTTCATATGAAAACAGCAGCAGCAAGACGGTGTCGCCCCTAAAACACTGTTAACTTCAGAAGCCATAAAGACGCAACCGGCACCTGCTGCCTCACCGTGAGCAGCGGGGCTCAGAGGACGGGAAGTCTAGGAGGGCACCCTGCGCCCAGCAGCTCCCTCTTCTCCCACCTCTGCGTCGACTCACGGACGCCCTGAGCCTTTACTTCTCTGGAAGGGGGCTCTGTCACGCACCCAGTGCTATCTGTGTGTCCCTACGTTTGCCCCTTGTACTTGTACTGGCTTCCTGGAGAGAAAATGTGACCCCAAAAAAGCCAGAGCCAGCGACCAGATCACCTTCGGTTCAGTGTCTGTGGAGGCTCCTCTCCAGCAGGGGCACTTTTGAAGTATTTCTTCCACCCCACATGCTAATCCTGCACAGAACTCTTTCCCAAACTTGGGCTATTCACATGCACTTTCACAGTCTGTCATATCTGCACACCATCTGGAACACTGCTTAGTTAGTACTCTTTGTGAAGTCCATTTATTTCGGAAGGAGATTTTCATGATCGGAAAGCCGGTATCAAGCACTATACATAGGATGTGATATAAGAATGAAAACAACGAAAAAGAAAAACACATTTTACATTCCTTCTAGATGCTGTTGTTGTGTGCCCATGGCTCCAAGCCTGAGGCCTTCTCGCTCGATTAGCCAGAATTTTAGCATCCAACTAGAAGCTTTTCTTTCAACGTTCTTCAAACAGAAAAATGAAGAGAGAATTTGAAAAAGTAGTAATAATGACCGTGCCTCTATGGGACTTAACATTAATTAGTGCGCTGGGAATTACCTTGTTACCACAAGGCTAGCACTTAATGTGCGTGTGTGCACACCTGCACGCACGTTTGTATGTGTATATGTATCTGTGTGCACACCTGCACACACATGTATGCATGTGTATATGTACGTGTGTGCACATGTGTGTGCACGCCTGCAAACACATGTGTACGTGTGTGCATGCCTGCAAACACATGTGCATGTGTACGTGTGCACAGCCTGCACACACGTGTATGTATATATGTATGTGTGTAGGTACATGTGTGTGTGCACACCTGCACACACATGCATGCATGTGTATATGTACGTGTGTGTATATGTACGTGTGTGCATGCCTGCATGCACGTGTGTATGTATATATGTATGTGTGTGCACACACCTGCACACATATACGTGTATGTGTATATGATGTATGTGTGTAGGTACGTGTGTGTGTATATGTACGTGTGTGTGAGCATATGTTAACAAACTGCCACATTTAAGCGTAATTTAGCTTCCGTTTGGTATTCAATGTGGCCACACAGATTCTAGCCCTTGATGTTTCTGTTTGTTTGTTTATTTGTTTTGAAACAGAGTCTTGCTTTGTTGCCCAGGCTGGGGTGCAGTGGTGCGATCTCAGCTCACTGCAACCTCCACTTCCTGAGTTCAAGTGATTCTTGTGCCTCAGCCTCCCGAGGAGCTGGGATTATAGGTGCAGGCCACCATGCCTGGCTGAATTTTGTATTTTTAGTAGAGACAGTTTTCACCATGTTGGCCAGGCTGGTGTGAAACTCCTGACCTCAGGTGATCCGCCCGCCTTGGCCTCCTAAAGTGCTGGGATTCCAGGCGTGAGCCACTGCACCCGGCCTAGCCCTTGACATTTTTCATATCTTATGCGGTCCTTTCCGGGTAAATATTTCCAAAAGCCTTTGAAAATACTGAGAAAAGCTTGCAACTCCCCTGGCATGCTTTTTGGTCCCTAGGGAACTAGAAGAACTATGTAAGGAAGAACCGAAAAACAAACCAGGCTCCAGGCAGTTGTGTGACGTTCCATTCACTCCGGTTTTCAGAGACACTACTGTTTTAGGGACCAGAAACAGAAACCCCTCAAAGAAACGGAGTTGACACTGCCAGTGGTACACCCATCAGGCTGAGAACACTAAGGGTGTCGTGTTTTCCAGATTGCTTGAAGTCCGTGCAAGTTCATTTGCATGAGATGACCAGTGCAGCCACACAGATTTTATTAACACTACAGACCAGGCAGCTGTCTCTCCGTGGGAGCTGCGATCGCAAAACACCATAAACCCGAGGCTGACAAACCACAGACATGCACTGCTCACCGTCCCAGAGGCTGCAGGAGGCCCGACAGCTCGTTGTGGCAAAACGGGTGTCTGGCGAGGCCTGTTCCCATAGAGATGCTCGCCGCGTCCTTGCTGGGTGGAAGGGGCGAGGCAGCTCTCTGGGGCCTCCCTAACTGGGGACTCATCTTCCCTTATGCCTGAATCACCCTCAAAGGCCCCACCTCTTAACACCCTCACACTGGGGATTAGGTTTCAGCATGGAGTTTGGAGGGACGCACACAGAGGCCACAGCAGCAACTGCGGAACAGAAACCCCACAATGAGGCCGGGCGCTGTGGCTCACGCCTGGAATCCCAGCACTTTGGGAGCCTGAGGTGGGCGGATTGTCTGAGCTCAGGAGTTCCAGACTAGCCTGGCCAACGTGGCTAACCTCTACTGAAAATACAAAAATTAGCCAGGCGTGGTGGCAAGTGCCTGCAATCGCAGCTACTCGGAAGACTGAGGTGAGACAATTGCATGAACCCAGGAAGAAGAGGTAGCAGTGAACTGAGATCATGCCATTGCACACCAGCCTGAGTGACAAGGGCGAAACTCCATCTCAAAGAAAAGAAAACCCACAAAGACACAGAGCTGTCACGGCCATCGGTCTTCCCTGGCTGCCTGGAAACACCCAGGTGTGTTCTGTTTTCCAATCCGCTTGGAGTAAGTACGAGTTCATTCTGGTGAGATGCCCACCGCAGCCACCGATTCAATGACTCTAAGTGCTTGGGACTCCTGCCAGGACCGGCGTGAAACACAGCAGGTGTTGGATCCTCATCTGTTGACGGATGAGGGAATATCTCGGAGTCCCCATGGAATTGGAGGCGGCATCTCCAAGTATCTCCCAGGGGCTCCACCCTCGGTCACGGACGCCATGGTCGGGTCGGAACGTCTCCCGTCCCAGTGTGTTTCTCAGATTTACAGATACTCATTTCCACACAACAGGGCTCCCAAAGGTGTCACCTGCTACCCGATGGTGGGTAGCAGGAACGATACCAAGTTAGTGGAAATTTCAAAAACAATTTGGAGCACACATAATATTTGCCTTCTGCACCAAATTAGACTAATTTTCACTTTATATAACTTCAATTTTCTCTCTATAGAACTCCTCTGTATTTCTTTTTTTGGTTTTTTTTTTTTTTTTGCTTTTGTTTTTGTTTTTGTTTTTTTGAGACGGAATCTCACTCTGTTACTCAGGCTGGAGTGCAGTGGCACAATCTTGGCTCACTGCAACCTCCACCTCTCGGGGTCAAGTGATTCTCCTGCCTCAGCCTCCCTAGCAGCTGAGATTACAGGAAGCCACCATCATGCCTGGCTAAATTTTGTATTTTTAGTAGAGACGAGGGTTTCACCATGTTCTCAGGACTGGTCTCAAACCTCTGCCCTCAGGTGATCCACCTGCCTCGGCCTCCCAAAGTGCTGGGATTACAGGCAGGAGTCACTGCGCCTGGCTGGACTCCTCCATATTTCTGTAGAAGTTATCAGTTTTATGCAATAAATTAGTTGCAAAGATTAATTGTAGTTGTAATGATCTTTAACCTTGGTCTAGTTTTCATTTTTTAAAAGGCAAACTGACTTCATTTCCTTAAAAAGAGGAAAACCCCACTTGGTTAGAAGAGCAATGTAAACTAATTGTGGAAAACACCAAAAAAGTATAAAGAAGGAAACAAAGGTGAGATCAGTGTTTACTGCACATCAACTTACTTCGGGCCCCACAATCACCAGGTACACACTGGGCTCCTCCTGGTGCCATTCTGGGGAAGAAAAAAGAAAACAAAGAAACGCTTCACATGGGTTCCAGCCACAGCTGCAAGCACAATTTCCTTCAATAAAATTTCTCAGTTATTATTTCATATCACTTGGCTTTCATTCATAATACTAGTCAATTTAAATAGTATTTTAGAATTTCTGTATTTGACATTTTATGATTTTAAGCAGAATTTTTTTCTACAATAATATCCATTATCTAGATTTCTAACTTACTGGATAACTAGGATGAGTGTCCAGTATCACTACAATTCAACGTGGACTCTGGAATATACTAAAGCGATACAGATTCGCTTAAACAATAAATAAAACTCCAAATGCATCACACAGATTGGTATGTGTGAAATATTTTCAGGTAAAATTCTTTTCGTCTTACAATTATTTGCTATTTTTGTGATTTTTCTGAGAACCTGAGGGCACAGGACAGTGGAAAACAGAGTGGAAATTCCTCCCAGAGCTGCTGATCCCATACACCGTTTTCTGTTCTTTTCGAAAGCAGCAATCTAGAAACAGCTCTCATGTGCAGAGAATGAGCTAAAAAAGCTCAAAGCCTGGAAGAGAGAAATGCTGAGACACGAGCCCACAGGAATTCCATAAACAACGGAGGAAGGTAACCAGCAAGCACACCTGAAAATGCGCCCACCAGGTACAGCGGGTCCTTCACTTGTCGAAGTCCGCATATCAGAAGAAATACGTGCAAATTGTCAGCACTTTGGTTAATCTCTGTAAGAGAAGAGTTTGGAATGTTTTCAGTAGGGAGGACTCTGGATGCTGCAGCAGCAGTGATATCACAGATGCATTCAGAAGTGGAGGCCTCTGACTTCGAGGCCAGCTGCTCCTATTCTTACTTTTTTATTTTTGAGACAGAGTCTTGCTCTGTTGTCCAGGCTGAATGCAGTGGCACAATCTCGGCTTGGCTCACTGCAACCTCCATCTCCTGGGTTCAGGCGATTCTCCTGCCTTAGCCTCCTGAGTAGCTGAGATTACAGACATGCGGCACCATACCCGGCTAATTTTTGTATTTTTAGTAGAGATGGGGTTTCACCATGTTGGCCAGGCTGGTCTCAAACTCCTGACCTCAGGTGATCTGCCCCCCTCGGCCTCCCAAAGTTCTTGGATTGCAGGTGTGAGCCACCCCGCCCCGCCCCTACTCTTACTTTTATATTAATGTCCTTGCTGTAAACTTATGCTTTCTGGTAGGAAAAAATGGAGCTGGGCTCAGACTGTAAAATGCAACTTCCCCTGCTGTAAAGAAGAAGGATGAGGCAAGGGAAAACTGACTCAACTATGACTGAAATAGTAGCCAGATATTCTAGAAAAGAGTTAGATACAATTCCAGATAGGAAGAAAAATTTCTTGATGAAAATAGAAAAATATACTCATGAACTCATATATGCATAGAGGGATACACACATCTAAAGAAACACATGTCCTGGAATCAATCCAAATGTCCATCAATGATAGACTGGATCAAGAAAATGTGGTACCTACACACCATGGAATACTATGCAGCCATAGAAAGGAACGAGATCATGTCCTTTGCAGAGACATTATCCTCAGCAAACTAAACACTTATGAGTGGGAGCTGAATGAGAAGAGCACATGGATACATGGGCGGAAGGACATACACTGGGGCTGTCGGAGGGCGGGAGAGGGCAGGAGGGAGAGCACCATGAAGAACAGCTAATGGACAATGGGCTTAACACCTAAGTGATTGGAGAATCTGAGCCACTGCGCCAGGCCAAGAATGAGGCTTTAGTGCGGAGACTCAGCCATCCTGGTTGCATGAGGCCCTGGACACATGATGAGCTCACGCAGGACCCAATGAAAGTTTAGCCAACTGTAAGTGTCCAGGTGAGCCTGGCGGACACATACGAAGCGGCCCTCACGGGAGACATGCATCAGGAGAAATGCAAGGTGGCTGCTTTCAGCTGGTGCATCTTTTATTTTTTTTTCTTTTGGGACAGAGTCTCGCTCTGTTGCCCAGGCTGGAGTGCAGCGGCCTGATCTTAGCTCACTGCAACCACTGCCTCCCAGGTTCAAGTGCTTCTCCTGCCTCAGCTTCCTGAGCAGATAGGACTACAGGCGCGTGCCACTGCACCTGGCTAATTTTTTTTTACTATTTCTAGTACAGATGGGGTTTCACCATGTTGGCCAGGTTGTTCTCAATCTCATGACCTTGCGATCCACCCACCTTAAAAGTGCTGGGATTGCAGGAGTGAGCCACCATGCCCAGCCCATCTTTTTTTTTTTTTTTTTAAATGAGAAAATATGTTTAATTTTGTAATAAAAGTTTCTGAAAAAGAGGCATAAATTTAGACAAATTCAGCTTCACAGTCCAAATTTCCTATAATGCATCTGCTCTCTAATGTGAGGGATCCCTGTCGGGTAGCGGTGGCTCAGGCCTGTAATCCCAGCACTGTGGGAGGCCGAGGCAGGCAGATCACCTGAGGTCAGGAGTTGGAGACCAGCCTGACCAACATGGTGAAACCCTGTCTCTACTAAAAATACAAAAATTAGCCAGGTAGGGTGGTGGGCGCCTGTAATCCCAGCTACTTGGGAGGCTGAGGCAGGAGAACCCGGGAGACGGAGGTTGCAGTGAGCTGATATGGCGCCACCACACTCCCAGTCTGGGTGACAGAGTGAGACTCCATCTCAAAAAAATAAATAAATAAATAAATAAATAAGGGATCCAGACCAAGACATCTGCAGATACAGGAAAAAGCTGAGCCTTATTGGCAAAGGACTTTGGAGGCCTTAGAGCAGGTGTCCCCAAACTATGACCCGTGGGCCGCATGCAGCCCCCTGAGGCCGTTTATCCGGCCTCCCGCCGCACTTCAGGAAGGGGCACCTCTTTCATTGGTGGTCAGTGAGAGGAGCACAGTATGTGGCGGCCCTCCAACGGTCTGAGGGACAGTGAACTGGCCCCCTGTGTAAAAAGTTTGGGGATGCCTGCCTTAGAGGGTCCATAGCTCCATCACAGGACAAATGGGAGCAGCTGGCACATCCTGAGGTGGCTTATTCCAGCTCAGCAGACGATGCATTCAATAGAAATTGCTAATATATTTCACACAAGCCACCCTAAAACTTCAGTATTTATAACCTGTATAATTGACCATAGTGTCATGCAGGTTAAAAGTTTTCTTTCCCAGGATGGGCATTCATTCATTACTTAATTCAAACACTTTCGTTTTCTCTGTGCTATCCAGATCTTGAACAGGAATACAACTAGTTTGAATGTAATGAGTTATGGAGACCGCTTTAACACAATCACAAGAGCTTCAAGAAATTAATCCCTAACTGAAGAAAATCTTTACTGAAATGTTAAGATCGAGATTGCCGCTCTTAGAAAAGCCTTGGAAAATAATCACAGCCTCTGAATAAGCTGCTGACAATCTGCATTGTCAATTTTCATTGAAATACGTTGAGTTTTTAATATTTCCTTAATACTTTTTTTTTTTTTTTTTTTTTTGAGATGGAGTCTCAGCCTGTTGCCTGGGCTGGAGTGCAGTGGTGCATTCTCGGCTCACTACAACCTCTGCCTCCTGGGTTCAAGTGATTCTCCTGCTCAGTCTCCCAAGTAGCTGGGACTACAGGCGCAGGCCACCATGCCCGGCTTATTTTCGTATTTTTGGTAGAGATGAGGTTTCACCATGTTGGCCAGGCTGGGCTCGAACCCCTGACCTCAGGTGATCTACCGGCCTCATCCTCCCAAAGTGCTGGGATTACAGGTGTGAGCCACCGCACCCAGGCCTTTGCTTCTAAGTGGAAATGCAAACCTTAGGGAGTCCTTGTTTAACCAAAAGTCTCAGCTAGAAGCTACATGCAGAATTTGAATTGACGTCAGAAGAATTTGAGTTAGGCATTTGAATATGAGGTCAAGAGCCAAGCTATTCACTTTAATACATGATTTTTTTTAACAGAGAAAACTTTACAGGATTGCAAGATCAGGCAGGAGAAACATGCAACGCCTACATTACTAGGCAAGAGCCAGTAATGAATGCTAAAATTTGCAAGTGAAAGTTTGATGAAGATAGAGATTAAGAGAGCCCTCTTAAAAAGTACTTATTAATTACAAAGGAAATATAATACCTGTATAGTACCTAAGGGAACCAGGGGACACCAGCTTAACTAAGGGAGAAAAGCTTAGCCCAGCACACACGGCCTGTGTGTACACACACACACACACACGCACACAGTTTATATTGTCAGAAAAAGATCTCTGGTATTGGGACAAGCTGATGCCTTCCACATCCAGACACGACACCCTGAGAAGGAAGCAGCGTCACGTCCATCACATTCTTGATGTGCATGGAATACCTATTCACATACACAGCAGGAGGAAGACAGGAGGAAGGGAGGTACACGGAGAACCACAAATGTCCCATAAAAAGGGGAAAAGCCGAGAATCGGTATTATCAAATTGGAAAAAAAAAAGCAGATACCGAACAGTCTACAAAGATGGCACCCGGAGATGGTATTCAAAGCACTGTTGGAAGATCCCAGGTGCCATCAGGTGAAGAGATATGTTTCTGTACTTTTGCTGCGTGAGAAGTGTGAGTGCTGGGATTCTGGTCCTTTGCTCTAACGCACTTAGCTACTGAGAACTCCAGGCTCTGGAGACCCGGTGGCATTTTGGTCATGTAGGCTGGAAAAAAGTGGCCCTCCCACTGCAAGTATCCCAGGACCACTGGAAAGATGGTCCTGGGAGGAGAACCATCCATAAGGTACAATATTGACTTTCAGAGATTTTTTTTTTTTTGAGAAAGAAAAAAAGAATAATAAAAAGAATAAAGAAGAGGAAGAAAGAGAAAGAGGAAGAGGGAGAGAGAATGGGGGTATTGCTTTATTGCCCGGGTTAGAATGCAGTCTAAATATGGGTATGCCTATAATTGTCCTTAATAATGGAGACATAAAAGAAAATGAGGGAAGAGAGTAACAAACAAGGAGCCAACCAACATTTCGTTTAAACTTCTAAGTTGATATGATGTGGTACTGATAAGAGTGTATATTTTGTGTATTTAAAGTGGAGAGTTCTGTAAATGTTAATTACGTTTACTTGTTCCAGATCTGAGTTCAAGTCCTGGATATCGTTGTTAATTTTCTGTCTCATTGATCTGTCTAATATTAATGTTGAAGTCTCCCACTACTATTGTGTGGGAGTCTAAGTCTCTTTATTAGTCTTATATGTCTGGGTATTCCTGTATTGGGTGCGTACATATTTAGGATCTTTAGCTCTTCTTGTTGTTGCATTGATCCTTTTATCTTTATATAATGTCCTTCTTTGCTTCTTTTGATCTTTGTTGCTTTAACAACTATTTTATCAGAGGCAAAAATTGTAACTTCTGCTTTTTATTTATTTATTTTAGCTCTCTGTTTGGTTGGTAAATCTTTCTCCATCCCTTGTTTTGAGTCTTTGTGTATCCTTGAATGTGAGATGGGTCTGGATGCAGCATACTGATGGGTTTTAGTTTTTTATCTAAATTGTCTGTCTGTCTTTGGATTGGGGGATTTAGTCAATTTAAATTTAGAATTAACAATGATATATGTGAGTTTAATACTGCCATTTAATATTAGCTGGCTATTTTGTCCATTAGTTGATGTAAATTCTTCATTATATTGATGCTCTTTTTGGTATTTTTTAGAAAGGCTGATACTGTTTGTTCCTTGCTATGTGTAGTGGTTCTTTCAGAAGCTCTTGTAAAGCAGGCCTGGTGGTGATG